AAAGTCAGGACCAGCAGTTTCCTTGCTCTCTTCTCTTCAGTTTAGTTTGTTTTAGTTTCAGTGATTCTTCTTTAGTTTTTGTTTTCCCTTTTCATATTCTCCTTTGTTCATTTCCACACGCGAGTAAAATAAACTTAGCCTGAATTAGCTGGTCAACTTTACTTTCAATGGACATTTGAAATTCCTGTGACTTTGCTCGCTCCCAAAGAACGGAAAGAACGCAAGACACTCAGACGGAACTACACACACGGCTTCTTTACTCAGCAACACAGGAGAACTATATTATGTTTCTCACTTGTGAGATGAATAAAGGCGTTATCTAATCTAATCTAATGCAAGTATTCGTTTTATCGAGTTTTCAATACGTTTAAGACTTGTTTATCCCATTTAGGGTGATTTGATATCTTGGTGTCTCTCTGTCAAGGTTCCTTTTGTCTGTGATTTTGCCATAACTGATTGACCATTCTCTCCCTGTTCCTAGCACTCTCTAGGAGAGATTTTGTTGTATATACATTTACTCCTTGTAGTCACCAGTATACGTGGTTTTCCTTTATTAAATTATATTCATTTATTGACTCCGTCTGTTGCTCATACAATGTCCCTTAAAGGGATACTACACTTTTTTTGGGAAATAGGCTCATTTTACCACTCCCCCAGAGATAAATTGTTGGGTTTTACCGTTTTCGAATGTATTCAGACGATTTTTTGATATTTAGAAGAATATCAGTAAACCACACTGTAAAAAATATTTTCAAGATTTGTTATCACAACATAATTTCTTTTTTCAAATCAACTTTCTAATAATTTATTTAGTTGAGATAACTTATTATTTTGAGTTTCTGTTGGTTAAATTCATCTACTTCATTGTATTAAAGGGTTAGTTCACCCAAAAATGAAAATTCTGTCAGTATTTACTCACCCTCATGTTGTTCCAACCCCGTAAGACCTTCGTTCATCTTCGGAAAACGAATTAAGATATTTAAGATATTAAAATCGCTCCTGCATACAGTCCATAGGCTTCTTGAGGGACTGGCTCTTGCCGTCCCCGAAAAGTCATAAAAGACATCGTTAAAATAGTCCAAGTGACTACAGGGGCTCAATCTTAAGTTTATCAATCTTAACTTTATTTCAACTATTCGTTTATTTCTCCCTCTGCGCGAGCCAGCTAACTAGTTTAATAGCGTAAGCTTCTGTTATTGTACGTCACACGCATCACACACACATGACCAGCGTCGACCAATAGTGAGCCTACGTGTGACGTAGCTCTACGCAATCACACTACGTTAACGGACTATAGGCTTATGGAGAAGGAGGTGAATAGTTGAAATAAAGTCGTTATTTTTGTTGTTTTTTTGCGCACAAAAGTGTTCTCGTCGTTTGAAAAACTTAAGATTGAGCCCCTGTAGTCACTTGGACTATTTTAACGATGTCTTCAATTACTTTTCGAGGACAGCAAGAGCCAGTCCCTCAAGAAGCCTATGGACTGTATGCAGGAGCGATTTTAATATCCTAAATATCTTAATTTGTGTTCCGAAGATGAACGAAGGTCTTACGGGGTTGGAACAACATGAGGGTGAGTAAATACTGACAGAATTTTCATTTTTGGGTGAACTAACCCTTTAACTCACTTTATCCAGTTCAGTCAACTTAAAATTTTAAGGCAACCCAGGTTACTACTTTTTTAAGTTAAACCAACAATATTTTTTTACAGTGTAGTAATCACAACATTTTTTCTTTTGTCAAATCAACTTAAATAATTTATTTAGTCCAGATAACATATAATTTTGAGTTTCTGATGGTTAAATTAATCTCCTTCATTGTATTAACTCACTTTTTCCAGTTCAATGAACTTAAAATTTTAAGGCAACCAGGTTACTTACTTTTTTAAGTTAAACCATCAATATTTTTTTACAGTGTTTCTGGTCTCATTGACTTCCATAGTATATTTTTTTCCTATGGAAGTCAATGAGACCAGAAACTGTCTGGTTACTGATATTCTTCTAAATTTTAAAAATTGGCTGACTGGATTTGAATACGGTAAAACTCAACTGTTTAACTCTGGGGGAGTGGTAAAATGAGCCTATTTCCCCCCAAAAAAGTGGAGTATCCCTTTACATGTTCGATATAAGCTACAAGCTTTACAATTTGTTGCTACTTTAATTAGTATTTTTCTAAAACTGGAAAGTTATTTTTCATGGCCAGAAAGATAGCCTTTCTTGCGAGTCTATAAGGATAATTTCTCTTGAGGGTTGATGAAAGATACAATCAGTTTGCTGGACTAACAGATTATTCGATAACAAACTAATGTTAAGGGTTATCCTTGGAATTGGTCTGTTCTAGACAATTAACATATTTAATTATAATTTGTTGTGATTGATTATTGACATTCAATTTTGCTTTCCTGTGTGGATAATTGATAATCCGTTGTATTTAAGAGTCCATACATACATTGGCAATGTATCCCCTTTACGGGTAATTTTAATTTGTGATGCGATACCTGATCATATTCATGATCATTTATTAAAATTAAGCACCCTTTATTTGAGCTAGAATCATTACAGAGGGCATTTGCTGAAGACTGTATGTTTCTTACTTCTGCTCAATTTAGGGAAGCAAGTCAGTTGGGAGACCCAGATATTCGAAATGTTGGGGAAGTTAGGGGACGTCGATTGGAGACGAGACCCAGGTCCGTAGTTAGGTTTAGGGAAAAATCTACCACAGCGGCCTAAAATCTCCTTGCCGAGTATTGAAGCTAAGTTCTGCTGATGAAACAGCAAACTATCCTTCAGTATATATTTCTTCAATTGATTATACTTCTGACCCATGGTCTTCATTCATCATATCTGGTCCTTGGGTCTTTAACTGTGAAATCCCCTACAATTTCAATTATTCCAATTACAGGAACAGAAAAGTAAAGTAAACTTTCTATGGACATTACATTTCCGAAAGCTTGCCCAAAAGTAATTCAAACAGGAAGAAGGGATCACTTTAAACTTAGTATTGTGGTTTTGGCATTTTCTATTTCTTGAAGGATTAAGTTGAACAATCTTCATGAAACTATGAATCTATAAACTATGAAACTATTCCAACTGTGGTTGTTCTTGACACCCCTTGTACCGTTTGGTAATCCAGGACCGGTTCTGTAATGTAATCACACATGAGATCACAAGGCCAGAGTAAAAAAGTGGGTGGAGTAGTTGTGTTGGAATTTAGGCAGGCCTGGTTTGGTTTGGTGGAAGTAATTGTCAACAGGTTCCAGCTGAGCCTAAGTGTTTGTCCAAAACAATCCCCAAATGGTGAGTCACAGAGACTGGAAGTCTGCTTAAGCTGGGGGAAGGGTTGTTTTTTTGGAGCCAGGTTGGTAAAAAATAAAAATTAAGCATGTATAAAAGGTGTTATAATCTTTACAGAATGTCTGAAACTTTTCAGGTTAAAAAAAAAATATAATCCTTGTAATTGAGTTTTGACTGAAGTTCAACAGCTGCTGAAAAGGGCTGAATGGTCCAAATGCATTTGGCTCAGCTTCAGACCACATAGGTCAATGATTCATCAAGCACCCACCCAAACTGTCCATTTCTGATTGAAAGACAAATATAGGGTTTCAGAGATTTCACAACACATTCCCTAACACCACATTTTAACAAATACACACACTTTCTCTGCCATTGAAATCTACAGGCCATCAGCAATTCCTTGCCTCCCTATCATTATCCCAGCAGCTTTCACATTGAATTTAAATTCAACACAGTCACCCTGCAAAGGCAATGACAGATACCCTGAGGTGAGACGCAGCCTTTAACTCTACTCTTGTATACGGATACATCCCACCCACTGAACCAATGTGTGACGGATAAAGTAAGAGAACATTTCGAACCACATTTGAGAGAATTTTTTAAAACAGCAGGTGATTTATCCAGATAGAAGTCTGTTCAAGTCTAATAATCAACTTGCATCAGTTTCATGTTGACAGATAATGTAATTGAAATGACACTGTTATGATTATAAAAGTATATATTTGAGACTTTAGACTATATGGATCTATTTATAATACTAGAATTAATCCCTTTTGATGTTACAGTACAAAACAGCCCTTTCGCATTATCCTGAAGATTGTAACCATTCATTTCATGCGTCATAGTCCATAAGAGCTCATCCCAAGGCGTCATATACTGACGCTTTTTTCGTCTATATCCAACGCACATGGCACCCTTTGGTGTCAATATGAGCCGCAGATATGTATGGGCCACACAGCGCCTCCTAGTGGTGTAACCCTAACCCTACCCCAGAACTAAATATACCATAACCGAACAAAGCTCTGTGCGTGTTATATTGACCCTAGGGGGTGCCATGTGCGTTGGATTTAGACGAAATTTAAAAAGTGTCACTATATGACGCCCTAGGAAGAGAATGCGTAGGAGAGGCTCTTAGGAGCATGTGTAAAAGTAACATCCTTCTTGATTTTCCCTGCAGTCACAGTTCCCCTGCAAAAATCAGTCTACAGGCTTTCATAGACCAAATAAATAAATAAATAAAAAGCTTCCCCAAATTCCTAGGTTAAGTTTTGTTACAAGCTGTTCACACGCTGTCAATAAAAAAAATATTCATACATAAAAAATACTTTTTACTCAGCCTCAAACTGAATTGTTCCAAACCTGCATGCGTTTCTTTCTTCTGCTAAACAAAAGATATTTTGAAGAATATGGGTAACCAAACAGTGCACTTCCATAATTTTTATTTTTCCTACTACAGAAGTCAGTGCGGTCCATCAACTGTTTGTTTACCCATATTCTTCAAAATATCTTCTTTTGTGTTCAGCAGAAGAAAGAAACTCATGCAAATTTGGAACAACTTGAGGATGAGTAAATGACAAACATTTGGGATGAACTATTCCTTTAATATTAGAACACTGATTTAGTGAATGGGCAGAATTAATTCTTTTTAGACCATATCTGTAAACAGAGAGCAATTTAAAAGACAAATAAAGCAGACAACACAATAAATTAATAACCAATAGTATTTAATGATCGCTCCGAGTTCTGCCCTGTACCCCTGAACTAGCTCCGCCCCCGCTAGAGAGTTCTTTCCCACAAACAGTAAAACAGGATCAGGCAATTAACTGCATCACCAGACCTAAACATATATGACTGTAATTTTTGAACGCAATTTTTGTGTCTGTATGTTTCTATGTGAGGCACAACACTTTTAATCAATGAAAAATAAAATCTAACTTTATCTCATTTTCCAACATTAGATTGAGTCCAAAGACACAATGCGAAACAAGAACGTACTTGGGGGGGGGGGGGGGGGGGGGGGGGGTCAGTTAGTGTCGCTAAATCTAAAAGAATATGCTTCCTAAAATTCATGACATACCTGCATAAAGAAAAAAACAAAGAAAAGAAAAGTAAACACTCAAGTCAAACAGCACCACCTACTGGTAGAGCTCAGCTTTGGTCATAGAATACGGGTGAGAAAAACAAAGACAAACACCTCCAAAGACAAACAACCGGGCTAGACCTGTCCATCTCTCACAAGGTACAAACATCTGATTCCCAGCATAGACAATCAGCTAACATAGAGGTCCTGATGCTGATTTGGCCTCAGCATTTATTATGTGATCGGAGATCAGAAAGGAGTTTAAACTAGGGTTAACTACGGTTGAAATGAACCCACTGACAGTATTGCTTCCAAAAGTTCATAGATCCATTCCAGAGACAAAAAATAACAAGTACGAGCGAGGAAAACGGGCCGGGACAGGCTTTGTGTCAGCAGGGAGCGACTCCAGATTCTTTAGGAATATTGTACACTTGAATGCACATTAATACGAGTGGGCTCGTCCCTTGAACGGTGTTGCCATGTAAGAAAAAAAAAAATATTATTCAAGCTGACCTCGTCATAAATGTATCTATACATGTATTCGTGTATTGTGGGGTGCAGGGCATATACCAGTCTCTCCCATCAGTCTGACCCATAGCAGTTCAGTCCTTCTCATGTAACACACCCTTATTTTGAATTCCTCTCACTCCGTCTCACACTGGGGGCAATTTTAAGTCCCCACCCATCCAAAAAACATTCAATAAAAACAAAACAACCCTCCAGATGCCTGGGAGAGGAAAAAGGATGGAGGGGGATGCGTCTCGTCTTAATCCCTCTCTTACTCTCCTCCTGCTCCCTCGTTTGGCAGGTAAGGGGTTCGAGACCCCTCCCACTACACTGCAGAGAGGGGCGGGGCAAAATGCAAATGCCCTACACCCCTTCCTTCAATCAAAACAAGCAAGGATGGACGGGGCTCTCAATTTGAGGCGCTGCTATTGGAGGAGCTGGAGGTGGAGGCGACAGCCATGCTGTTGTTACCGGTGGCAGCCACTGACTTGCGTATGTGTGGGAGGAGGTAGGGATCACTGGCTAGCTGGTGAACGTCAATACGATCCTCCTTACGGTACACCAAACATCTGCGAATGAAGGCCTGAAGTAGACAAGGAATTCATTCGCATTAGAAAATGTTCATTTATCATTGCATGTTCAAGCAAAGACGATCAACAGCAATGTAGGAAGTTGTTTACATTCTTTAAATGTTTTATGCGCACATAGGCTGCATTTGATTAAAAATACAGTAAAAAAAGCAATACTGTGAAATATTAGTCTTCATCGTCACTTGATCCTACAGAAATCATTCTAACAGATTTGCTGATTTGCTACTGAATAAATATTTATTAATATCATTATGATCAGAGTTGAAAGCAATTGTGCTGCTTGTTTTTTTTACATGATTCATTGATGGAAAAAATTTTTTTTTATTAATTTATTAATTTATGAATGTATTTGCTGATCAATTTAAATGCATCCTCGCTGAATAAAAGTATTCATTTCTTTAAAAAATATACATTAGACCCCAAACTTTTGCATGGTAGTGTAATTAAATTGTTATTCCAAAAAATATGAATAAATGTCAATTTAAAGAACAAGGGAGGATTTAGAATTATGAAAAATGCAGAGTCACAATGTTTAAATCGAAAAAATTGTTCCTGCACCTGATGGATTTTGGGTTCCTTGCCACTGTCACCTCTAGCATGCTTAGTTGGGGACACTTAACATTCGGTAATATTATTGATTTGGCTGCATTGACACTATTGGATTGAACTGGATGATTACATCACTGTTCTCAATCCATAATTGACGAACTTTGAACTATTGTCTTTTTAAGATCTGCTTTACAGCAGTAATGAATTCTGTTTGGACTATAGATCAGTTTTTTTTCTAGTTTATCCCTGTAAAGCTGCTTTGAAACAATCTGTATTTGTAAAAAAAGAGCTACATAAATAAAAGTGACTTGACCATGAAAGAAAAGACAGAGCCAATGAACTGTTTACAAAGGTACCTTAGCTTCAGGCGAGACTCCTGGTTTGGGAGGAAACTGCACCTCTGTGGCTTTGAGAATAGTGTTCTCCTGTAGGATGTCCTGTTGGGACTGATTATGACCGAACGGCTGTGTGGAAAAGTATGAAAATGATGAGATGAGAAAGCTACTGATATCTCAGTGGACAGTGACTATGCAGCCAGTATTAGAAAAATGTACGAGTGTGTATTTACCTTCTTCCCATAGAGGCACTGGTAAAAGATGACTCCAACGGACCAAACATCCACTTTATTAGAGATCTTAGGTGGCTCTTTTCCAACCACAAAGCATTCTGGAGGAAGATACCTACAGCAGAGCAAGAGTTTTGCATTTTGGGCTCAGCTGCTTATCCAAACTTTCAAACCATAAATGACTTAACAGTACCTAAAAATCAACATTGTCAACTTTGTGTTGAGGGAGATTTCACCAACTTCAAGAACTTAAATTATGGTCATCGCAGACCACTCACCAGTATGTCCCCGCCCCCTGTGACGTCAACTCCATGCCGTCCACCCCATAGTTGTCGTCGTCCATGATCTTGGACAGCCCAAAGTCTGTGATTTTTATCTCTCCACATGCGGTGCCGTTCACCAGCAGGATGTTACCTAGACAAACACAAGGGTCAAACTTCTCCATCAAAATGTTGCCGTTCTCATTCTTGGCCCAGTACAGAATTCAATGGTCTGCGGGTGCCATACGCATGTCCTACCTGGTTTGAGGTCATAATGGATGATTGGTGGGCGGATCTCATTTAGGTACTTGAGAGCATTGACGACCTGCATTATGATGGATCTGGCCTCTTTCTCTGACATTAGCTTGTGCTGCTTCAGGTAGAAATCCAGATCGTTCCCCTCACAGTACTCCAGAACAGTGCAGAATCTAGAAATCCCACATAAAACAATTGATCTTTAAGGAGTAAAACAATGGAAAACAAAACTGCACCAATCAAATAGGTTGATTACCCCGAATTAGTGAAAATGATCTTGAAATGCGTTTCAAATTAGAGAGAATTCATATTTCAATAAAGCAAGGTTACTCACGAGTCAGTATCCAGGGAGAAGTAGTCATAAAGTTTGACTATTCTGGGATGGTCCAGTTCTTTATGGATCCTATATTCTCGACAGGCATGCCTAAAAACCATTTCAAGTCAACCGATTTTAATTAATAAGCGGTGCTGAATAAACTTTGACAGAATAATGGACCATATCTGAATCTTTAAACATAATGAGAATAATGGTTTTGGTATACAAGTTAATCAAGTTTAGTCAGGATTTATATTTTTTATTTCTAGAAATCAGGCCTCAGAATTCCAGTCTGGTTCAGAAAGAGGAATGCATTCTGGGACAAGCATACTTAGCTCCTACTGCTGAACTAGTAGTTTTTAAGAAACAAGGCTGGAAAATGTGTCTGCACTCACTTGTGATAGTTCTCTTTCTTTTCATCTCTCCAGTTCTTATTAAGCTGGTGAATCTTCACAGCCACGTACCTCTGCTCAGTCAAATCAAAGGCCTGAAGAAAGAAGATAGAACAGGAAGAGAAAGTCAGACATAAATACCAGCACCAATCGATTAGTGAAGCTGCCTATTTTATCTACATTTTTTCTTATATTTTCATTCTACTGCGCTCCCTCCAGCTGTTTTTGAACCAAATAATGTGTCTTATGTGAACAGCCCATGATTTTGTTCTTTAAGATGCCCTAGTCGACAAGTCTTCCAGTCAACCCAATGACTAGTTGATTATGAAGATCTGACCATCCCTAAACCCAACTACACATTCACATACATATTTCCCATCACAGATCTGCTTACCTTGTATACCTCACTGAAGCCTCCTCTGCCCAGCAGATGCAAGAGCAGGTAACGGTCATTTAGCGTAGGATGATCTTTAAACCTGAGTCGAAGAGACAATGATGCAATAGATAAATCCACCATAGACCCCATTTAAACTCAGAAAAACCTTCAAAAGCCCTCTTAGAAATAAACCCTGTACTGAAACCAAAATGGCCAAAGTGTGGAAATAAACTTTGAAAGTGCATACTGGGAGTTATCTTCATTGTGAATTCTCTTGAGCTCTCGGATGTGAAGATTACGCACGCGCTCCAACCGTTCCAGCTCCACTTGAATCTCCGCTTCCTCCTGCCAGACACACACACACAGCATCCAGACATCAAGACCCGTTTCCATGACAACACAAATTTAAATCACATTGTAATATGAATGTGATGATTTGAATACCTTCTTCAGGTGTCCGAGTCTCAGTTTAAAAATTTCTTCTTGCTCATGGTATTCTGCTAAAGATAACCTGTGAGGACATTAACAAATTAGGACAAATTCCAATTAGGTTGAATCGCTAAACCACTCAAAGCCTAACGTGATGAAAAAAAGAAGACTCACATCTCGTTTTCCGCGCCGTTGCTCTTGCTCTTGCGTTTGTTGGGTTCTAGGTTGGGAGGAGGAGTCTGACTGGCGTTGGGCGGTTTCTTCTTCATCAACAGTTTCCTCTGCCTCTCTATGTCCTCTCTCTGCCCATTGACTCTCTCCTGTTGTCTATACAGACACACAGCAGCATAAGAAAGTCAAGTCTGATCTGTAGTTTAGGGCCTCAAATTCAAAACATTTTTATTTTATACATTTCCTAGCTTTTCTTTCCACATCTCATAGTATTCATAAAGTTCTACACACCTTCCACTCTTTGCATGTTTGTTTCCTAAATATTTTGTCTAATACCACTGTTTCCAAAACTAGTACGATACTGATATGTTCATTTTTGGTACATGCCGATAGCTCCATTTTCATTACATTTGTAAATTTATATATATATATATATATATATATATATATATATATTGTGTAAAAAAAACCCCAAAAGAATGGTCATTTTGGTCATCAGTTACTCACCCTCAAGTTGTTCCAAACCTTTATGAGTTTCTTTCTTCCTTTGAACACAAAAGAAGATATTTTTAAAGAATGTTGGTAACCAGACAGCTGATGGTGGCCATTGACTTTTCAACCATAGAAGTCAATGGCTACTGTTGACTGTTTAATTACCAACATTTTTTTACATATCTTCCATTGTGTTCAATAGAAGAATGTTCCTTTTTACAGGTTTGTATGCTTTTATGATGGATGGATGAAATTGTTTGGCCTTCAAAAAGTTTTTTGTACCATTCAGTCCTTAATATGCTTACTCTTCCCCGATTTATAATTTAATATAACTCTGATTGTGTTTGGCTGAAAAAAGAAAGTCATATACACATAGGATGGCTTCAGGGTGAGTAACTTATGGAATAATTTTCATTTTAACTCTATAATGTGTCAGTTCAAAATGATGTATGTTGTAAATTTGATTTTTTTTTTTTATTATTATTTTATTTATCTCTTTTAGTTCAGAAAATCTAAAAAAAGGGGTCTGAGGTTAACCCAAAAAAATCACAATACTACATTATTATGAAGAGTTAACATACTTTTAACAAACAACCTAACATTTACATTTTTATAAAGTCGTATCTATTGCAAAAAAAACAACAGGCTGAACTAACCCTTCCTGACAAGACGGTGTTCACCAAGTTGCTGTCTGTTCATTCGTACTTAACACTATGCCAGCTTCCACTGATATGTTCATAGTCAACAATTTAAAATACATTAAAAATGTTCCTATAATGATGTTTTGAAAATCTATTTTCGATAAAATGGTAAAACTGACCTGTGTGCACTAATCTTGTGGGTACTAAGTTCATGTTAGAAGGCTATGAAGGTCTGTGCACATTGAAAGCACCACATTCATTCATCACTGAACACAGACCTGAATGAGCCTTTTATGGCAAGATCTCTACACACACACACACACACACACACACAGACGTGTGGTGAAACTGACCATCTTATGTCAGGGCATGTCAAGTGTGCGTGTATCCAACATTTGCGTAGTCTCTGAAGTTTGAGAGTGTGTGTGTGTGCAACTGACGTACTTGACTAGATTCTGAAAGGCATAGCCATCTGTCCACTGCTCAGTAAATGAGGCTCCGTGCCGTACGGTGGTGAAATGGCCCAGACGTAGCCGGTCCTGCATGCTCTTTTCTCTACATGCAATTTTCTCCTGTTTGGACTGAATTTTACAATCTATTAATTGCATTATTATAACGACGCAAGTCATACAGAACACTACCAGACATTAACCATCATGTCTTCTCTGAACACACATGTACCTTTTCAATAAGCAGTTTCTTACTCATGGTCACACATTTATTGAGTCGTTCTTTACATCGTTCCAGCATCTTCTGCTGCTCATCGATTTGTCTGCGCAGGTCACAGTTCACCTGCAGCGCACAAACACACCAACATAAACACGGTATTCTTTAGCAATGCACTTTAAAACCTGATATAAGCCAGATTTCATTTATGTTGAGTCAGTGGCATTCACGGCTTATAGATTCATACTTAAATCCCACTTTGTGTGTACACTTTTGTTCAAATGCTTTGGGTCAATTTTTTTTTTAGCTTTATGAAAAAAAAAGTCTTAAGGCTTTTATTTAATAAAAAATACAGTAAAAACAGTAATACTATGAAATATTATAATTTAAAGACTTCAATATTTGAATATTTTTTAATCATTACTCCAGTCTTCAGTGTCACGTGATCATTCATAAATCAGTCAAATATGCTGATTGGCTGCTCAAGAAACAATTCTTAGTATTATCAATTCTGAAAACAGTTGTGCTGTTTAATATATTTGTGGAAACCATGATTTGTTGATGAATAGAAGATTCAAAAGAACAGCAATTATTTGAAATACAAATCTTTTTGTAACATTACAAATGACACTTTAAAGTGACCTTGTTGAATAAAAGTATTAATTTCCTTAAAAATATATATATATATATATATTCAAACAGACCTGAAACTGTATTGTAAATAGCAATGCTGGGCAGCAAAATATTTAACAGATTTTCATATCGATGCTGTGTGTGAAAGTCGTACCCTGAGCAGGTCGTCAATACGTCCCTCTTTCTTCTCCAGATCTGAACTCTTACTGCTCTCCAACGCTGCTAACTTCTCCATTGTCAACTCAGACTGAGAAAGAATGACCGAAGCTGGCTGTTAGCGTGAGGATCTTAAAGTGTCTATGTAGGTGTGAGCGTGTTTTTAGAAGTGTGCGCGTTACCTGTGTGGCTCGGTGCTGAGTTTGTGTAGAGGCTGGCTTGTGGGAACAGGAGGAGTGGGAGAGGTCTGTGGTTACGGAGCCGATGGAGGAGGGGCTTCCTTGCTGCACCTGTCAATCAAAACCAAAAACTTATTTCCATCAATACAAAACGCAACCCCTTGTCTTTGATAAAAAAATTTGCCCCTTTGCATTTCCCAGTCCTCTGCACTGCAACTCTATACAATTTTTTTATAATAATGATAATAATAATAATTACTGGTAATGTGACAGTACATGCATAAATATAACTTGCTTGTAATGCTTATAATGCTTATAATGCTTGTTCTGAACTGCTTGTACACAGCTACAGCAATAAATTGTCATCTTACTACTAAGCATCATAGCAATATACAATTTACAATGCACACTATATGAATGCACCCCCTCATCCATACCGTTTACGGGTTTTTAAATTTTAATTTTTAATAATCTATAGTATTTATTGTTGTAGAGCATTGCTCAGTGTTGCTCTAGTAAAAAAAAAGTGTTGTTTTTACTGCCTGAATGCAAGTTAAACATGTATACATGGCTGAAATTACATAATTTAAATGTTTGGTTATAGTATTTTAATCGATTGTCATAATTTCCTCGCCCTCATGTTGTTTACAAACCCATAAGACTTTGGCTCTTCTTTAAAACACAGATAAAGATATTTTTAATAAAACCCGAGAGGTTTCTATCCCTCCATTGAATGTCCAGGTGAACAAAACCTCACAAAAACATTGTAAAACAAATCCATATGAATCAAACAGTTTAATGCCAGTCTTGATCGCTTTATATGATGAGCAGTTTAAAACAATGATCGACAGATTTGACACACATAGATAGAGCACATCACATCTAGTAAGCAAGTGTGTGTGTGTGTGTGTGTGTGATGCTCGAGAACCAATGAGGTTTGTGCTAGTGTGCGACACAAATGATTCCGTGTTTACCATATGTGATGTGCTCTATGTATGCAAGTTAAACCTGTTAAAAGCAATCATTTCTCTTCACAAAACTTGTATAATAAACTGTCCGATTTATAAGGATTCATTTAACAATGCCTTTATGAACTTTTTGGATCGTCAAAATTTTAGTTACCAGGACTTTCAATGGAGGACCAGAAAACTCCAGAAGGCTTGCTGGGGTTGTCGATGTTACCGGTGTTACATGGTGTTCAGAGGGTTTAGAACAACATGAGCGTGAATAAATGATTCAATTTTCATTATTGGGTCCCTTTAATAGTTATATCAAATCACTACATGAATAGAAAGAGAGGTCTGGCAGCAAGAAAGAAACTCACGGCAGCAGGAGGGTTGGAGAGAGAGTGCTGAGGGGAGGACCGCGCCACTGGAGGAATGCCACGTGCTGGACTGGTACCAGTACCACTACCCCCTGCAAACTACACAAAAACACATGACTGAGAGGTTAAATCAAAAGGAAAAGAACACGGAAATAGAAGTCAAACCACAGTGGACGTCAAATGGTTATTAATTACAGAATGAATGCACTACATGAACCTACCTCAAAATAATCACTAATTTTGTGTCCTCTCCCTCCTCCTTTGCCTAGGTGGGGGAATTCAGAACAATAGTCATTAAAGGGATACTTCACCTCTGGAAAGATGAATGTGTATTTAAAATGGGTCATTTATGTAGAAGAAATGTGAAATTAGTTTTGAATTTGGAGCTTTCTAGACTGAGAAAAGACAGAAAATGTATGTTTGGCTTATGTGAATGAAAGCCAACTGCACTTGCTTCGCTGCCCTAGGAGGCCATGCTAAACCGGTAACAAAGCACAGTAGTTAAACAACAAGTCTAGGCTACTAGTGAGTCTCTGTGATGAGTCTGCCCGAAAATGTGTTTCGAGATGGCCCAAAATGTCCGGGATTAGGCTTTTGCGTTTTACAGTCGCCATTCAGTATGTTTGCTGTGACGAGTGAGGGCTGAGGGAGAACGACACGAGGCCAGTATCGTGATTACCGATAAGCAACAACTGTGAGACACACCGGTCTCGTACCTCTCACAGAGGAGTGGGAATTTTCTTAGCAATGCTAAAACACACATCAACCGATCACTTGTTTAGCGTTCATGTAAACACTACATTCAGAATTACCAATTAGAATGAATTCAGTTTGATTGAAACAAAGCTATGTATGTAAACAATGAATGGCGACTGCAGAAAGCAAAAGCTGAATCCCGGACATCGACGGCCGGACATGTCCGGGAAAAAGAGGACGGTAACCCCTACTACTCAGCATTCTCCACAGAACAAGAACCTGCTAACTTAACTTAGCCTTACAAAAAAAGATGGCCGACACTATCTGTACATTCTGTGAGTGAGATCCCACCCTCTATGGACGGGTTGAGAACATGCGGAACAGCCCCTTCTACTGACTGTGGTCTTTAGCCTCAAGCCAAAAAATCCTCAGATGACGCAAAATGACGATTTTTCCGTCATCGGAGGAATTCTCAGGACAAAAAATACATAAATCACTTGTCTCAAGGGGATATGAGGATGGAAAGCACTAGGGCTGGGTATCGATTCACATTTCAATTTCGATTCGATTTCGATTCACAAGCTCTCAGTTCGATTCGATTTCGATTCTCGATTCAATTTTCGATTTCGATTCCTGATTTGATTCTCGATTCGACTATAATGAAGATGTAATACAAATCCTATATTTATAAAAAAACAACAGTGGACATAAGTTTACTAGTGGTTAATTAATACAAGGAAATTAAGAGCCATAAACCTGTATATAAAACTCTTTTTATTTTAGGTACACTAAATGCATACAGAGAATAAGCAGGATTTTGATGCAATATGCAAAAAAAGTCAGAACAGTCGCACAGCTTGATCAAACAGTATCATGTTATTTTATGTTTAAGATAGATATAGATAAATAAATATATAAATATTTAGACTTTTTTTTTACATTGATCTTACCTAAATGGTAATGTAATTTTTTGTTTATTTTTGTTTTAAGAGTTTATGTATGGAAGCTTGATTTCAATCTTTGAATTAAATTGAAAAAAGTAGCACAAATAAATACAATAGAATAAAGACACAAATTAAGAGACATTTTGGGGTAGTTTTTTGGGTATGTCAGAAATACTACAGAAACTGAATAAAGTAATCCAATGTAAAATAACACTGGATAGTCTTTTTAGTCCAGACTGAATTAAATACAAAGGCTATTAATTCTGATAGCTTACAATTAATACTATAGTCTGTTGTTATGACAACAGAATTAATGACTGACACAAATGGCTGCGTTCACTTTAAGAACTAGTGCGCGAATCCATTACTGTTTCATTAACTTTCTGTCACACGCGTTTAATGCTAATTTAAGACATTACCGACTGTCTTTACGAGGTTACTCACCAAGACCAGAGTTTTGACATAATGTCGCGTGTTTTAACTGTTAAAGTGATATAATCCAGGGATAAAACTTTTGTTTCTGGCGAGCTGTTTGTGAGGCAGATTTAGGCTGTAACGTTACTGTGCACGCATTGAAAGACATCTCTGAGAGTGCGCGAGCACGGGATGGTTTAACATTGCTTGTAAAACTCAAAAAGACGTGAAAATGATAAACGTTAGTTACGATCATAGGTTACGATGCAATGCTGGCCCGATTGTTAAGTGAATATTCCGTCATGTCCCGACTCCTAAACGCGTGTGTGTATCGACAGCTGCAGCGCTTGGCGCTTGATTAGTGCAGAGAGACGAGAAGATGCAGCACCGCGTCCGCGAGCCCTTTATATGGAAAAAAATCGATTCCGGCGGTTGAGAATCGATTTTGAATCGAACACATTTTAAAAAACGATTAATCGAAAAATCGATTTTTTTGCCCAGCCCTAGAAAGCACGGTAATTCAAAAATACTACAGGTTTCCTACTAATGCAAAGTTTAATGCTAAATCCTGAAGTATCCCTTTAAGAGAAAAGACACTCTAAAAGACGTAACATTGCCAAATGCTCTCATAGCAGGTTTATCATTCACATCAACTTACCCTGGTTGTCAAAGGGGTCTCCTTTCCTTTTACGCGTTCTCTGGTCATTAGATTTCTTCTCTGGGGTCTGAGTAGGGAGACAGAGAAGAAGAGAGAAAGAGAAAGAGAGAGAGACATTGTAAGCTGCCAGGCGAATGCTAGAATCCATGACATCACCTCATTCCACAACCCCATTCATTCCAGAAGTTTCCATTGAAATGTTAGAGGCTCATACAACCTGAAAGACTGGACGACAACAAACAAAGACAACAATCTCTATATATATGCCCAGTTTCAAATAAATTGCATCAGTTTTAGTTTATAACATCTAGTAACGCTGTTTTTGAACAAAATGGTTAGTGTAACTTTGTAACAATAGAAAACAGGTTGAAAATTGGCAATGTCTGTAGTATATATAAATGAACAATGGTACTAGTTGTCCATGGCATGTTACCTGGACTTCCGTGAAAACTACAGATTATACTTTTTCAGCTTTATCACTGAAAACTGTATCGTTCTACATCTAGACCTGAACTCAAAAATCAACAAAATTATGACAAAACGTTCACTAAGAAGTATTTCGTATACAGCACGATAACTAGCATTTTTTTTCTAATAACAGCGGAAACAAACAAACAGGATGCGCTTGCTGTCGTCTGTCTCTGTGAATTGGAGCACGTCACAAAAATGCATAGACTCAGCATAGACTACATGCCTCAGACATGAGCAAAACAAATACTCTCTGCTTATGTAATACATATGAAAGGTGCACTTCTCTAAAGGCTCTTCCACTATATTGAGAAGATGAGAGCCAGCGTCGACACAGTAAAGTCGGCACGAAATCGATTCCAATGACGGAATTCGATTCGTGGTGAAGGTTTCACGCGAGTTCCGTCTTTCCCATTGCAAAGTGATTTTTAATTAAATGCAACACATTTAATCTTATGTATTAACTCGTTTCTTGTTGATCTGCAAGAAATGCCATTTGTCCTCAGAGAGCACTGGTCAGATATTTTCTCTTTAACCAGTTTTCCAGTCTTACAACACAGACTCAGAAAACACTAGCTTACATTTGCCAGAACTTGAGCACAGAATAGGCTATCATTCTGCGCCCAGTATATATGCAATATTTCAGTTAATATAAACCTGCAATTAGACTAATGGCTTAAATGAATGACTTGTCGACGAGAAATATTTTTCCAGCTGATGAACAGTAAGACATTTAAAGCAACAGACGACATAACTGCAGTACGCTTATTATAAAAAGAACTCCATCAACCATGGCATGTTAAGATAATTTTACATTTATTATTCCTGGTATGAATGGAACTTTAGTCTTGCTTTCTGTTGTTTGCACACTTTAGAGTTGTAATGTCAGACAGTTCTTTGAGAAAACATTCATTGTTACTTTTTTCTCTATACTAAAATGACGTACTATCTGTTTGCTTGTCCAATGGCAGACAGGGTCATTATTTCTGAAATTTCTTAAGTTGAAAATATTGGCACACTTTTGTTGTGCATTTCAATGACAGAATCTAGATGCCAATTTTTAAAGAAAGGAAAAACTAAATCCAGGTGTAACAGAAAAAGAAGCAACTAAGTCTTCAACCACAAGCACTGTGTTATCTTATTGGTGAAATAAATAAAATGGCACCAACTTCAACATTTTGAACACCAAGCTGGACCCCCCTGACTGTCAACATGAAACATGTTAGCTGACAATAGCATCAGCTACAATAGACCGAAGCAGAGATAGAATACTTTAGAGAATCAATGACTTTTTCACATCAACAACAGCAAATGTGTACTAACCTCCAGCTCTTTGTCACTGAGGGAGCCCACGCTACACAAGCTCTGGTTAGATGACTCGTTGTGTCCAGAACCCTGTAGAGAGGAAAACAACGGATAACTAGATGTGTATTTCCTAATAGGAAAGGTCGTTGCTTGTAAGGCAGGAAAAAAACAGTGATATAAGTCTTCGACCACTTCGTAGTCGGCACCAATACCAGTAAAATTTGTTGGTCTTCGGTAACAATATTTTCTGCTCCAAAGCAAAAACTGTTGAATCAAGTACTTTAAAAAAAAAAGTGTCCTTTTTTGTCTTGTCCATTGGTTACATCCTTGTTAATCATCTCAGTTTCCGATTAAATCGCACACTTACCTCTTTCCCGGCCTTGACTGAAATGTACACCTTTCCGTGTTTTCACTTTTGCATGTTGCTTTTTTACTAACCCACATTCAAGTGCTGATAAAAAAGGAATGCATGAAGCTAGAATAAAAAGTGTGTTCTTTCTTTTAATATATTGCATATTTAGATATTCATACAACAAAATATTCTGGAGGTATCAAAATATTCTTGAATATTTGTGAAATTAAACAAAAATGCTAGTGGTGCCTGGCAACTTTATATTTTTATTTTTAAACGCTGTTAAATACAGTTGTCAATTCAGAAACTTTGCAGTGTACTTGGCAGCATGAAAAACTAAACTTGCATTCAGATTGTGAATGGGTAATAAACCGAAAACAAGAGAAGAGCCCTTTATGATCACTAAAGCAGTCAATCTCTAAAGCAATGAATACTGGACTCTCGCAAAAACTCCTGTTATAATAATACTAACAAAAAAAGCTGTCTTGTACAATGAATCTCTAATTTAGATTATGTGTTCACTTTGTTGGTTAAAATAAAAGGATTCACAAGCGTGCTGTAGGTTTATGATGGGGTTAGGGATCAGGGGGCAGAGATGGGTTGGTTTAGGTATATGTAAGGTGGGAAGGGTTGAATCAGGATCCAACAACTCCCCCTGAATTTCGTGTTTTGCCGCGAGGACCATCTCAACTTTTCCTCTGCAGTCGCCCTACGGAGTGAAAGCGGAATTGTCCATGACCGCTGTCGTAAATAATTTAGCTGACCACAGCCTACTGTCGCACACACACTTGTTGTTTATCCCGCAGCGGCTTTGGAATGAACGATGTCCACAGACAAGGTAGAGTATGATTTCATGAAAGTATGAAAAAAAGGAAAAAAGAAAAAAAATGACTATTGTAATGCTTGATGATGTAAAGCAAGTCAAATTTGTAGTTTTCTTATGTCTCATTAGAACTACAGAAACGCGACCCGATCTCTGGCAATCCTACATAGCGTGGTTATACCAGATATAGGACCACAAAGCGAATCCAGAAGTGCCTTTCACCCTGTTACGACTTAATGAACCATTGAATGTGATTTTGGAAACTGTTTATTTTGGAATTATTTAAAAGGTAAAAAAAAAATCTTACTTATTGTTGCTTTAAGTGGATTTTGTCTAACTGACTTGAAACCTCTGATAGGCCATTGTGCTAATGCACCTAATAAATATGCATGGTAGGAGAGCATTTCAATATAAGGCCCCTCAAGACTGGAATAACCCTCCTTTTTTCTTGAGGACGTTTTGGTTACTCAAATAGTCACTTTTTTCTTTTATTAAAACTACACGTTCTAGTAATTAGGGACACCAATGGCATTACATATAAATGATTTATGTAGAAAATAGTAGTATGCATACAATTATGTTTTTTTTTTTTTTTTTTTTTTTGTCATTTTATTTATCTTGATTTTCTTTGGACATTTCTATGTGATATGTGTCGTTATCCTGCATGGAACATTTTGTCATAAGGCATATTGCTAAATTGTTTAATGCATTCAGTTCATTATTTTTCAATATACTTTAATGTGTGTGCTATTTTAATTGTGGGGGTAAGAGCAGGTGAGAGAGTTATTGTTTTGTACATATGTCTAAGTTTGCATTGTGTTTTTATACAAGTACTGTGTGGTTAACCTTTGTGTCTGTCTATATACACTGCAGGACCCCCTTGAAAATGAGATGATACATCTCAAGGCATTATCCTGAAATAAATTCAAATTCATATGATTTGCTTTAATGCTTAATGCCTCGCCTAATATATATATATATATATATATATATATATATACACACACACACTTCTCGATGCATTTAGAAAAGTATTATTTAGAATGCATGTAAAACAACTCCCCTCTCTCTTGCAGTGACATCTCTTCTCCGAGGTCAAGGCTAGACAACCCGTCACTCACATGACATCATAGCAAATAGCAAACCACATCCACCCATAATCAACTCCCGCCTTACATTTCTTCTTGTTCGAGGATCCGTTTCACTATGATATTTAGCACAATAGGGAAGAATAGACTATCGCAACTTACGTTTCAGGCCTACTTTAATTAAACAAATTTTGTTTTCATTTTCGATTAAATGAAATCTTTAATAAAAAACATAACAAAAAAAATCCTTTTGGTGCATCATAAATGGGACACCACCTTCACTTGACAATCAAATATCTTTTTGGTCCAAAACTGCTGTCCTTCTTAGACTAATGCTATTGACATACATGCGCTTTTGTGGAAAATTAGTGAAACAACAGCTGGGCAAAAGCAAGAGGAAAAATTAACTTAACATGTTACTGAAACTAAATGTACGAAAGCAGACAGGCCCAGGGCCTTGAAAAACACATAAATGAGTGAAGATGATGATGTCTAATGTGAAAGGGAAGGTGCAGGAATTAATGATTATCATTAGGGTAGGGATGATGGGGGCAGAAATATATCCGTTTGAGACCGGACAGACCTTGGCAACTCCGACTCCTGTGAAACGGGCCTCCAGCAACTCCTGCCTGCGAGGATCCAAGCTGTGCAGTTCCTCCATCATGGCTGGAAAGAGAGGAAGAGAGCGTGCATAGAATTATGTAGCCATAGTGATGCTGACAGATTGACGGGACAGTGAGGTGTACGACATGTTGAGTCATACATGTTTTCGAGAGCATTCTGAGATTCATGACTCAGCCTCTCCACGACCACTCACTCAGTCTTAACGCACTCCAACCTAAAGCCGTTTATCCTATAGATAACCTACGGGAAAACACCATGATCATGCAAGATCTCAAGACATGTCAAACCACATGCAACACATAACCTGCAGTGCACTTAGCAAAGGAACGTTGTTTCGCGAATAGAAAACAAATGCAATCGGTTCAAAATCATACACTGTTATGAATATTATTCAAGGTTGGAGGAGGCTGGGGAGAAACAGTCACAATGAACACTTTCTACTTCTTAACTAACCAACCAACCAAACTAATAACGTTAGAGCCACCCCACCACTGATTTATATTTTAGTTAAATCTCACCCGTTGCACGTCTAATATGATTTAAAGATACTATTAGTCAGGACTGAATTTGTATTATTGTTTCAGAAAATTTCACATTATTTCAGGATTACTTGATGAATTGGCATGGTTAAGTTCTCATTCTAGTCTAATCATTATATTGGATCTGTGCGATTGATTGAAATAACCAATAACAATCAAAAGAAATAACGTTTTAAAGGACAAAGGCATTCACACAGGATCAAAACAAAAGAAACAGTATTTAAATACCGTCTCAATATCGCTTTACCCCTGGGTTTTGCTTCTATTGTCTGTTGTTTCTACATTGCCCTGCGAAATCTTCGGCTAACCTCCTTCAACCGCAAGATCTGTTTTGGTACCTGTTTTATCGAGGTCTTTTCTCCCGCTTTCCGATTAATTAGAGCTCCTTTCTTCGACCGTTCTCCTCCTCTGGTCTCCCGTCTCGCCCTTCCCGTCTCAGCCCGACATCTCAGGGCTAGGCCTCAGCCGAAACCCCGACCCTCGCCTGCGCTCGGTGCCTGCTGTGTTGCTAGGTGACGCCAGCTCCGCGTCCTACTATAGTCCGAGGACTGCGAGACTTCCGAGGCCTTGAGCTCCCGAACCCGCCTTTCTCCGCTGGCCTTGTGCGATATATCTTTTCTACCAGATCTGAGGCATGTGGAACTTCGCTGCAGATCCACATCTAATGATTTCCCATCCAAAATTACTCGATTCGCTTCGAAGTTAGTTAATTGTGGTGTTGTTTTTGAGATATTTTGTTTCTCTTGTTCGTCTTCGCTGCTCTGGGTCAGCACCGAACCGGGATCAAGTCCTGGAATGATAAATTGGCTCTTTAAATCCCGTTCCAGCCTAAGGTCTCCTTTTAGAAAGATTAGCTGATGTAACGTTAGACGAAAAAAAAAATATTTTCCCAATCAGATTCGCGAAATCAGAATCGATTCGGTTCTCATTTTGTGCAATGTAAACAATAATCGGTAAATCTCATATTTTCTCGTGAGATTGTGCAAAACATTTCTACCTTTGAACCACGCCCACTTCCACTAGCAAACACTTATCAATGAAAGGGAAAAAAAAAAGTTTTTTCCCCCCTATATTTTAGGATAGGGTTTTATGATGTGCACATGCAGTATTATTAAATAAATATAATGTCAACTTTACTGTGGACATGTTTTCCCCCAGCTTTTGCATTCAAACAGCATTAAATAAAGGATATAAAACTTGAAAAGAAAAAGTAACAACTTTTTGGACAGTAACTCAAATTGTCTTGTATTATAGTGAGTATTTAGGTGAAATGACAGAAATGGTGACTACTGCTATTGGTATAATATTTCACTTCTCAATGGATGTATACTGTATAAAATGTAAATAAAATGCAATTGTTTTCACACTAATTTTTCAATAAAAATCATCTGGCTAAATTAATAAATGTAAATGAATAATATAACTGAACTTTTTTTACATTTTGAAAATAATTTTTGCGCTTTAGCCAATCAAAAACTTTCTCAATCAAAAAAAATCCTAATTTTTCCATGAATGTGGGAATCCTGTTTGATCGACCTCAGAGCCCATGAAATCAACATAGGAGTCCACATTTAGCTTTGTGTCCAGTAAAAGACTAAAGGCAGAAGGGAAAAAAAGTAGCTGACAATCAGAAATATGCTTTGATTTAATACCATCATGTAGTTTATTCATAAAATTTAAAAAGTCCTTAAAAACATCACTCAGTTGATGAACAAACAGTTTATGGTCTTCAGATGCATCATGTCCTCCATTAGCATTCCCAAGAAGGCTGCATAAGATTGAGTCTCCATTCCACTGAGCACGCTTAATGGCATGTTTCCGCCAATCTTCAAAGTTGTTACAACCTGTCCATCATCTTTAAAACAACCATGTCACCACATCTTCGTGGTTCAGCCCAGATGTTTTTCGATCTCTCCAAATACGCAACCTTGATTCTAAGGCGGCGCCAGGACCTTACGATACTTGCACTGTAACCAGACTCTGTACATTGTCAGCTGCTTTCCTCTGTTCACCTGCAAGCGTCGGTCCACCATGTTCTGCACCTTCTGCAAGCCGGCACTGGAGAACAGATCATGCAGCTCATCTTGAAGAGAATGACAAAAGTAAAAAATATAAATCCCTGTAAAATGTGAGCCATTCTTTTATTAACTGTATTCATATTACTCTATTATTCTGTAATGATATATTGTGCAACCAAAGCTTATTCATCAAATAGAGGTTCTTATAAACATATAATTCAAGTTTAAACAAGAAATTACCTTGTGTGAAAAAGTAGACGCGTGTCCCATCCCCTCTAACATAGAAATTTTCAGACAAGCACCTCCCTGATTGAGTAAAGGACAAACAATTAGCCCTGTTGTTGTATTGCTGTTACTGCAAAATCAGCTTCACATGCCATTTCTAGGCAGATGTAGTCAATAATCAAACATTTAGTACAATTTTATTTAATGACAAATTGATTTGACTCAAATTTTACAAAACAAGTTCTTCAAAGTTTGTGCTGATAAAAAATCATAAAAATATGATTTACATAAAAAAAAAATAGTGCAGGCCAAAATATGTTTTACAGTAAACGAATGCTACAATATTGACATTTTGGTGGTTCTTCTCCCATCACAATTAGGCCTACTTGCTGCATTTGTGCAAGTGTTTGGAACGTGACTCAAGACAACCTCCTGCAATCCGAAAATCTTCTTTGAGAAATGATTTTTTTTTAAAAGTTGTAACATCAAGGATGAAAAAACAAGGATGTAACATCTACCTTTTTTGAAACGAAGCTGTGCCATGTCATAGCGACCATAGTCTCTCAATAGTAACACTCCTCCGGGTTTCAGCAATCGTGCTAATCTATTAATGGAGTTCTGCATCCTGAAACAGATGGAGGTTGAGAAGTTAATGCACCGCTAGTGTTGGACAATCAAGAGGGACGACAGGTCACACTGTTATGTTTATAGTGTGATAATGACATGGCCCTGGTGTCAGCAGACTTACAATAGCACACATTATACAGTTACATTTAAAACAAATTAATAGACATGAAATAGTGGCTATTTCAAACAAAACTGACCAATCAAAATTAGATGTCACGTCACCAATAGTTTCGACAGCTTTAAAGCAGTGGTTCTTTAAGACAATATTCAAAGACCTTTGTATCTAAGCTGATATGTTGTAATTAAACATAAGTACATATGGAACATGGAAGATGGTTAAGATTGAACCACTGTTTTAAATATAACTTGCTTTATGGTAACAATTATTAGCATTCTAATGAAGCATTTTCCGATATAAGTTTCAAGACCTTTCCAAAAAAATATTCAGACCTGCACATCATTCGATCAGCTTCAATGCGAACAAACAAAAATCCCCCTGCTCAACGGAGGTAAACAAATGAACACTAGACCCTTTTCACATTCCTGTTAAATTCAGTACTTTAAGTTTTTTTATAGAAGAAACAAAATCTATTTACTGAAAAAAAAATTAGAGGGAGGGGATACAAATAGTAATATAACAAGAGAAATATATTTCTGTCCTAATTCAAAACTCACCCACGGTGTCATTAACACTCACTTCTGTGGATGCAGGGCAGACAGCACAAATATGAGGACAATGACGTCCAGACTGCGGTCTGGCATTGGATACTCTGCAGACGCATCACTCATATCATGGACAAATGCGTGACAGCGCGACGAGTCATAATCAGGGTTTGACTGCCAAAAAAAAAAGTATCAAACAAGTTTAAATAAAGGCCTGCTATGAATGCTTAATACAGATTTCTTAATTAAAAGAGATTAAAAGCGTCCCGTTACTTACTTTGACAAGGTCAACAGCCGTGCTGGAGAAATCACAACCATAAACAAAGAGACCTGGGTCACTGTAAAGCAAATAGAAAAGAATTTTTCATCTGCATGAGTAACAAACACTCTTGACAGGTTTGGATAGTGTATATCTGGACTCACTTGTTGGTTTTTAAGATGGGAAAGACTGTATTGCCTACTCCACAGCCCACCTACAGACCCCCAAACACACACACACACACACACACACACACACACACACACACACACACATAAAAGTTGAAAGTGAGCATATTCTACTGACAGGGCTTTCATTTTAATACTGAACAGTTCAGGCCCATTCAAACCAGGGATGATAACTATAATGTTTATGATTAAAATCTAAATATATTAACAAAAAATAGAGTCCATACCACAACTATAATGATAACAGCACAGTGAAACAATATCGTTGGAATCACTTGCAGAGCAATTTTTCCACAGCCAATAAGGATCTATCCTGCTTTAAAAAGCTCAAACATTTAAAGTGGCAGAAGGGCAGGATAAACTGCAGCAATATTTCCCACCGGTGCAGCTTTTAATATAATCTATTTTTTTTTATATAATTATGATCGTTCTTGGTGCGAACAGCCCTTTATTCCATATAATGAAAGTCAATGTAGTGATGTTAATAGTTATTTGGGTGAACGAACGTGCCCTTTAAATGCATCTACTGTTTTAGAAAACTCACCTCCAGGATGCGATAGGATGCAGAGGCTCCAGGAAATGTAGTGTCTACGTGTGACGAGGGAACATCTTCACCATTTAACCGATACTGAACTGCGGTTCCCTCCTCCTCATGGTCATGTGGAGCCTTTTGTTGAGGGGCCAGCTCAGGGAACTCTGTAAACAGCCAATGGCGATCCTTGAAGAAACGGTTCTCGTGAATGGTGTAGAAATCGTTCCAGTACTCATTAGCCCTGCTGTCAAACTCCTCTGAAAGAGAGATATGAACAAAGAAAAGAAAAATCCCTCTGAGCAAGTCTTTGTAACCAAGGTGGCAAAAAGACTTAAAATAAACCCAAAAAATGCATAGGCAATAAAAGAAAAAAGAAAAAAAAAGTTTGAGTTAATATATTAAAATAACTAAAATTGAAATAAAATCTAAATAGAAATAAAAGAACTAAAACTAATAAAAAATTCAAAAGCACATAAAACTGAGATCAAAACCAAAAATATAAATATAAACTAAAAGCTAATTAAAAATATGAAACTATATTTAACTCTATTTGCATCTTTCAGTTGTATTTTAGTGTTATAGATGTGGGTGATAGGTGAAGTGTTTGACACCTTGTTTTTCTGCTGGGAGAGGTTGACCGTTTTCCAGCACTTTCTTCTGGGCAGCCGCCTCCTGTTCTGCTGACCACTCTACATTATCCCTACAAGAGGTGAAACACCATCACAGTGAGTGAGAACGAAAACAAATCAGGTGTATTAAAATGACGGACACATATAATTGTACTAAAATGACGGACACATATAATTGTACAATTATGTTGATTAACTAACTACAACAGCACACATTTTTGTTACATATACTATATACATAAACTACAGCTAATCAATGCTTTACTTTGTCATTCTACATACATCATATGTGACCCTGGACCACAAAAGCAGTCTTAAGTTGCACGGGTATATTTGTGGCAATAGCCAACAAAACATTGTATTGGTCAAAATTATCGATTTTTATTTTATGACAAAAATCATTAAGATATTAAGTAATGATCATGATCCATGAAGATATTTAGTAAATTTCATACCTTAAATATATGAAAATGTTATTTTTGTAAGTGGACGCAGCATAATTGGCAACAGAAATGGAAACCTTTAAAGGCGATTTTCTAAATATTTAGATTTTTTTGCACCCCCAGATTCCCGATTTCAAATAGCTGTATCTCAGCCACATATTGTCCTATCATAACAAACCATACATCAATGGAAAGCTTAATTTCTCAATTTTAATTTCAATCTCAATTTTAAAAATTGAGACATTAAGACTGCTTTTGTGGTCCAGGGTCACACATATTCATACATATTCTTCAAATTATTCATTCAATATATTATTCGGTATTCTGATAATGGTCAAATATATTATAAGTCCTTTAATGCAGAACAGCCAGTTCACATACCACGCGTTGTGCTGA